ATGAATGGAGTTTCTCGAATTCACATTCACTGCTAAAATTTAGCTGGGATATGTCAGGAAGTTCCTACAAGCATAAATCACACGAAAATGGTTAGGCCAATTAAACAATGTCCAATGTCTATAGACACCATATATGTGAACCATTGTTTGTTTATCTCATTAGTACATTTTATGTGGATGCAGGAGGGCATCTAGTGTCTGAGCTTTGCAACCTCTGTTCTTCATTTGCTGAGTACCGGTAATGTAACAACAGGGCTGTCAGAAGATGCAGTTGCAAATGGGCCTTTGGTCCTGGGGGACCCATATAGCCTACCTAGCAGTATCCAAATGCAATCTGTCTAATCACCAGATATGTGATTAAATTGCCTCTCCTGAAGGGGAGAGGACATACTGTACAGTGTATAAGTATTAAGGGATTTGGCATGGAGGGTTGGGGGTTTTAGGGAAGGGATGGATATGTTAGGTTCATGGGGAGTTGTAAGGTTTGAAGAAGTAATTTTTTTGGTAGTAGATGCATGCCTGAAGCTCAGGGTCCCTTTTTTTTGAGCTCGGGTATGTTAAGTATATCACTGCTGACAAGTGACAACGCTATCCTGTTGGATGTGGGGAGCACCATGAAAAGATACACATGGGTTGCCTTGAGGCGCAAGAACATGAGTCTGGTACATTTCTTGGTCTGTGGACATGCATTCAGGGTCTAATAAAATAGAATGAACACTGAACCACAATGTGCGGTGAAGTGCCCAAAATGCACCTTACATGCACACAGTGAGGCTCCTTTTCCTTTATTCTAGTGTTTGAAAGCAGCAATAATTTAGACCAGCCTTTCTCAAACAGGGTGCCATGGACTTCTGGCTTCCTCTGGGGTGCCTTTAAATTTTTTAACAGGGTCATGCCTTTCCATGGAGTAGCTGGGCTGCCTGCCAACACCACTGAAAGGAATGACATTTTTTCAAGGAGCATTGGATCCATGCAGAAAAAAATGGAAGTTCACTTCCGCCTAGGCCTGTTCCGCCTCTGACCCTCTGCCGTGCTGCCACAGCTGCAACTCCTGATGTGATGGTAGGACACGGTGAAGGGGGGATTGCTGACTCTGATGTGAAAAGGGGACTTCTGATGAGGGGTACATAATGTAAAATGCCAAAGTGGCATCAGTCCTTTTTAGGGCGGCTGCTGTAGGGAGCGCAAATGTGGGAGCATTGATTAGTAAAGGGGCCATAATAGAAGTCTCATGTACTGTGTCTGTACTCTATCCAGAAGCTTCAGTGGACACCTTGCGCCTTTTAGACCTGGTATGATTCTGGGTGCTTAAAGCAGAAGTAAACCACCGTCACAAAAGGAATATCATGGGCCTCAGGCAGACGCTTTTGGATTTCCCTCTGGTACCTCGCTTCTGGACTTTTCATATTGTCCCTACCAAGGGGTTCCACTCTCGGCCCAGCCGCATACTCCTGACAATAGGTGACATTAGGGGATAATAGACCCCTGATGTCTCCATAAAGAGGAGCTAAACAAAAATTTTCCAGCACACTCATCAGCCAGCCTGCAAAAAACACATTAAGGGTTATTCAGTAAAGGGTGAAGAGTTTGGAGAAGTGAACAATCTAGGACAACATAGCTGATTTGGAAAAATTATCCAATTCAGCTCACCTTCCAGTTCAGCTATGTTGTCCTAGATTGTTCACTTCTCCTGCCCTCCCAACACTCTTCACCCTTTTGTGAATAACCCTGGCTGTCTAATTACTAGGGTTAAAACCAGAGGTTTTAGTTGCACAACTTTTGCAAAATATGTGGAAGCCACACTGCCTTGCCATAAAGAGGACCTGCCATATACTCCTTGCTATTACATAGGGGGCTGTTAGCCCCTATGTGATAGTAATAAAGTTAAGTGCAAAAAACACACAAAAAAATTAGTCACATAAAACAAAATACGCCCACACGCACAGGCACATGCAAACACGCGTCAAGTGCGCCTATGTGAAAAAACAATGTGCCACATATGTTACATATCAGTTGGAGTGTGAGCGAACATTGGAGTGCGAGCAATAATTCTAGGGCCATCAATCACTGATAACACTAAACTGATGAGTGGTAGATGCTTTAAAATGTCGCCTATGGCCAATTTTGGGTCTAGTAGTTTTTTACGATTTTTTTTATGGGCGCATTTTAGACCTCATTCACACAAGAAAAGGCAGGCACATACAGCTCCATGCTGCGTGCACGACCGTATTGGGCAACTCCCGGGAAGGACATGTGCTGCGTGTGATTAGCACGCAGCCACTGTCCTTCTCTATGGGAGTACGCGGTCAAACGCCGCCCCGCGCTCACCCCAAGTGCAGGTCCTTAATCGTGCGGGTGTCCCGGCTCGGACGCAGACTGGATCCATCCAGTCAGCGTACGAGTACGGACACCCACACAGACGTGCAGGGCGGGTGAGCAGGGCCGGCCTTAGGTCTTTAGGCACCCTGTGCGAGAAAGCTTTACAGCGCCCCTCAGTGGCCACACACTTTAGTGGCCACACCCCCGTAACCACACCCATTTCCCCCAATATCCACACCATTTAAAGACTCCTATTTTGTTAAGCCGCAAAGAAACATATTAAAAAGTATGATAAAAATAAAACTTTTATTCAAAAGTATTAAACTTGTCGGCACAATACAACTATTCTTATCAAATAAAACAACAGAAGGTAAACAATAAATGTCAAACTACAATAGAGTCTACAAATAAAGTGTCAGGTTGTCATGCAGATCCCTTTTTTCAAGTAAGTGCATCTAGAAAAGTAAAAATAAAAAACAGAACACAGACCCCGGGCTACATGTAAATTAATGAATTAAGAGCATAGGGCAGCGTACGGCCGCGTAGTCCTGTAGGGAAGGACAGGGGCTGTGTACTAATCACACGCAGCACCTGTCCTTCCCGGGAGCTACCCGATATGGCCGTGCACGAAGCATGGAGCTGAAAGTCTTGACATGTTTGGTGTCTATTTACCCGACGTGACCCCGCCTTTTATATGTCATCGGAAATTGGGTAATACGTGTGCACTAAATTATCCTAAAAATAATGGCTTCATAAACATTTGTGCAATTATCGCACAAAAATTGCAACCAACATGTTTTATTCTCCAGGGCCTCTGCTTTCAGAATATATGTATATAATTGTTTGGGGGCTTTAAGCTGTTTTCTAGCCAAAAACACAGATTTTATCATGCGTCCGCAAAAATAAAGAAATCGCTCGAGGGAAGTGGGTAATTATCCATGCAGGTCATCGGGTATTCTCTGCAAAGTGAATTGTCACTACATTCACTAAGCTGAGTGAAAATCCCCTTTGCAAAGTGAGCAATCTCTACTCCTTTAGTAGATGCACCCCAGTGCAGCTAGATATCCTAATGTCCTCCATTTACAAGTAAGATCAGAAATGGCGGTGCCTGTAGATCTTACAGAGAAGTGTATGAGAATGGTTCTAGTGACACGATGTCACACGCGTCCATCACAAGCACCCCTCTCCTCCCCTCTCGTAGAACGCTATGCAATGACAGGTAGTGGCACACACAGTGCGCTCAGCCGCGCATGCGCACAATTTGGGGCTGCAGCCCTGGGCAGATCAGGAGAGAGGCGAGGGGGATAAGAGACAGTGATAGTGGAGGAGAGGGGAGGACAGCCGGGGGACGAGTATACGGGCGGGAGGAATCACTAGGGATTAGCGATCGTAGTGATATGAGAGGAGGCAGCGTGTAGCAGGCATGAGTTGAAGGCGGAGGGAGGGACAGGGAAGCGGTGATGAAGGTCGGAGATAAAGTAAGAGGACGTTGACAAAGTGACAGCGAGTGACACAGACCGAGGCACCCGGACACTGGATGGAAGGAGGGAGATCGGGTCTGCTCGGTGCTGCAGGGATCTTCCAGGCTGGGCGAGTGACAGCTCGGTGGCCATGTGTGCAGCACTCCATCCCCAGGACAGCACAGGACTAAGTGTGCACACATAGCACTGGCAGTCTGGAGCTACCGGAGCTGAGCGCTTCCTCCAGGACATTGATTTCTACCATCCTGCCATTATGGGACACATCATTCATGAAGATGTCACTGTACACTGTGACAACAGGCGAGGTGAGTGACTCTACACTGGGCAGACTCTGCATGAAGGAACCTGAGCCTGGACTTCCTAGACAGAAGGTCTAAAATTTGGATTCCTAGACAGAAAGTCTAACATCAATATCCCTAGACTGAAGATCTAACATCAATATCCCTAGACTGAAGGTCTAACATCAGGATCCCTAGACTGAAGGTCTAACATCAGGATCTCTAGACTGAAGGTCTAACATCAGGATCCCTGTGTGGAAGATCTAACATCGGGATCCTTAGACAGGAGATATATTATCAGGATCCCAAGACAGGAGATCTAATAACAGCATAATACCTGGTCAGAAAGCCTAACATCAAGATCCTTGTACAGAAGATCCCTTTAGGGGAGATCTAACATCACAATCCACCAACAGAAAGCCGAACATCAGGATCCCTTTACAGAAGGTCTAACATTGTATCCCTAGACACAAGGTCTAACATCAGGACCCATAGACAAAAAAGTGAACATCATCAGGATCCCTAGGCAGAAAGTCTAACATAAAGACCCTTATACAGAACGTCTAACATCAGCATCTTTAGAAGGGTGGTCTAACATTAGGATCCCTATATAGATGATCTAACATCAGGATCCCTAGACAGAAGGTCTAACATCAGGATCCCTAGACTAAGGATCTAACATCAGGATCCCTAGACTGAGGGTCTACCATCAGGATCCCTAGACTGAGGGTCTACATTCAGGAACCCTAGACTGAGGGTTTACATTCAGGAACCCTAGACTGAGGGTCTACCATCAGGATCCCTAGACTGAGGGTCTAACGTCAGGATCCATAGACAGAAAGCCTAACAGCACGATCTCTAGACTGAGGGTCTAACATCAGGATCCACAGACAGAACATCTAACATCAGGATCTACCCTAAAGCTTTGCATGATGTTTATCCTTCCCTCAAATAATGGCGTACGCTGTTTATTTATTCTCAGGAAGATGTATTCTCAAGAAAACTGAACTTATAACCTGTCTTGAAGTCAAGTATACTCATTATACCTAAAAAAGAGCTTCCATTTCGTGTGAATTGTTCGAATCTTAAACTTGTCCTGTCCATTCATTCTCTAGTGTTCTAATATTGCACTAGCACTTTTGCTCTTTGCACTTGCCATCATGGAGCCTTGGAGACAGTGTGCCCAGTGGCTGATCCGATGCAGGGTGCTACCTCCCAACCACAGGGTGACATGGGACACAGCTCAGGTGTTCGACCTGGCCCAGACCCTTCGAGATGGGGTGCTACTATGTCAACTGCTCAAGAACCTGCACCCCAGCTCCGTCAACCTGAAGGAGATCAACCTGCGACCTCAGATGTCTCAGGTCAGTGACTTCCTATTCTCTAATATTCGTTAAAGTTTATTGCTGGTTTCTATTTATATGTGCCATTAGATTTCACAGTCTTGTGCTAATGCTTTTATATGATGAAATAGTCTCACAACCTTTCTCCACTTTTTACCCCTGAGGAATCCTTAAAATAATTTTCAGGTTCTTGGGGAACCCCTACCAAAAAGGATTATAGTCACAGTTCATGGTACATTTGTTTGATCTACAGGTCAAAAAAGTATTAATTAAAAAAAAAGAAATGTGGTGTACCTGTATACTAGAGTATTTGACACCCAGTGCAAAAAATGTTGTTATCACCCCCCTACAAAATTATTTCCAGTAATAGTTTTGGCATAAATAGTACATGTAGAAAAGAGAGACAATAAATTATTATGGAGTCCTCAGTGTAGAACTGTAGATAGATGTCACCAGCACACGAGAATCATTTGAAATCCAAAGTGTTACCGTAATTTATTGAAACGTCATGTCATCAGAACAAGCGCTTTCGGGGCCAAGCAGGTTCCCCTTCATCAGGCTCAGCGCTTGTTCTGATGACATGATGTTTCAATAAATAAACACCTTGGATAATGATTCTGGTGTGCTGGTGACATCTATCTACAATTATTGTCTGGTGGTGCCATCAGCAGGGTTGGGTATTTCCGGTAAGGAGTGCAAAAAGGCAACTATTTACTTAAGGGGCCCATTCACACCACATCCAGATCATCACCAGACCAGACCAGATTGTTTCTGGACCTAAAATGCATCCTAATGTATCTGTATGCTATTTCTGGCCTCTGTTCACACCAGCGCAGTCCATTCCAGACCAGACCAGACCAGAAAAATACTGCATGTCTCATTTTGTCTGGTCTGGAATGCACTGGAACTGCGGGCAGGTTCCCACAATTTTCCGGACCAGATCTGGTCTGGAAAATGGTGTGAACCTGCCAGTGTAGAACTGACCCCATACATGGGTCATAGGGCAGGTTCATACCATTTTCTGGACCAGATCTGGTCAGGATGGTGAAAACCTGCCCGCAGTTCCCGTTTATTCCAGACCAGACAAGATGAGACATGCAGTATTTTTCTGGTCTGGTCTGGTCTGGAATGGACTGCGCTGGTGTGAACAGAGGCCAGAAATAGCATAGGGATACATTAGGATGCATTTTGGGTCTGGAAACAATCTGGTCTGGTCTGGAGATGATCTAGATGTGGTGTGAATGGGCCCTTAGAAAAAAATTGCCTTCTTGCAACGGCGGTCAGTGTAGGTGGTCCATCATTGCTTTCTGCTCTAGGAACCCTAGCAACCAGAAGGTTACTAGGAACTCTGATTGAGAAGCTCTGGTCTAACCATGTACTATATTATAAAAATCTAACACATTCGTATATATGTAATCAAATTTTTAGTCATTTAATGTTGCAGGACTTGTTTTACATTATTACTAATGGCATCCAGAAATAGAAGCGATTCATCAAGCAACACACTTGAGCTACAATAAATACTGTATGTCTATCTTAATACGAATCAACGTAATAAAAACATTGCTGTGATATTATCAGTGGGATGATATACATATATAACCAGAGGCACATATGTTAATGTAGAGGTTAGGAGCCAGTTATTACCATCTAGGAATTACTAGGTAGCGTTACTATGCCAGGGAACAGAAGTTTCTATTTACAACAATTGAAAAGGCTTTAAAAAGTGAAAGGCTAGATGAACATTTTTAGGCTCATTTGCTACCTACCTGCTGGGTTTTGTGTAACACTGTATGTTGGGCTTATTTATTAAAACAGAGCAAAGAGCACCGGTGTATCTCCTTCAGCTTAAAGATAAAGGCTGATAATATTTAGGCTCATTCTTCAGCTACCTACTTCAGCTTAAAGAAGAGTTTGGGGCAAATTTTGTATTAACCCTTGCAGTGGGGCTGCCAGCACACTGCAAAGGTTTATTGCTTGTTTTCGTCTAGGTACAAAAATAATAGAGTTATACTGACCTAATCCTCAGAGCCGGCTTGTTCTTACACCGGTCCTTGCAGCCTCGCTCCCCCTCCGCTGCAGCGGTCTAGGGATCCTGGTGTCATCACGTCCAATACTTTGTGTATAGATGTGAGGGTGCCTGAGGGACATACTATCGATGCAGCGTAGGAGAACCGAGGCAGGAGGGAGCGATGTGACAGCCGGCCAGTTCAGCAGTTCGGGTGAGTATAACTTTTTTTATTTTTGCACCCAGACAAAAAAAACATTTAACCCTTGCATTGCGGGAGTAGGCCCACTGCAAGGGTTAATACAAAATAATGCCTGAAGTTCTTCTTTAAGGTAACCCTAGATGACAGATGATAGTCATCTGATTTGGCCAACTTATAGGCAGAGCAATGCAACCAGATTTCTGATGGTCACTTTGTGTTAGTGCACACCACTACATGTGCCAGGAACCTGTCAGGGACAGAAAATAGAAGATGCCAATTGCTGACTTATTTTTGAAGATGGAGTCTACAGGGTTGTCATCCTTCTCTACGTGGTGAGTCAATGACCTGGAACAAGCCTGTGCTTATCATTTGCCAGTACACCCGATAAGCGCATGCCTGATACAGGTCCAAACTCAATAGTAAGAGTTAACCTATGGGTACGTTTGCTAGCATCAAACAGGCGCCTACAAAAATGAGCCAACAATAGCAGCCCACTTATTTATTTCATTGCAGGTCCCATTTAATAAACCAGTATGTGCATGTTTATTACTCACAGGTGTGCTATGTACCCTTCCACAGATGTAACCACTATTAAGGGAAACAAGCTTTTTCAAAAAGGCAATGCAAAAAGCAATGGTGAGTTGGAAATTGCTATAACCCAGAGCAGCAGATCACCAATAATTTGTCTACAGTGTCATAATGATATGACAGTAAGTGGATTGGGTGTTATGGTTGTTGCACTTCATCATTGGTGTTTGCATTGCCTTCCTAAATAAATCATCAGTGTTTTGGTATATTAATATCCAGTTATCCTCTGTTTGTCAAAGCATTGTATAAAAAAAAGGAAAACACGTCACTTTTGTGTTGTAAATATGGCTGCATTTTCTGTGAGCCAAATGGACAATGTTATAAGACAACTTCTACGTGGTTGCACCAGTCATGCCAACTCATGCAGAAAATGATGTGCATCAGTTTATTTATGTCCGATATTGTGCACATTAATCAAGCGCTTGTGCCACGGTTCTAAGTTGCAAAGTGCTCTAAAATGTACACCATTACCCAGTGGCATGAATACTCAATGAAGGTACTAGTTGTGAAGTGACCTAGGTGGGCAAGAGTCTAAATAGTAGCAACTGTTATAATCTTCATTTGGGAATTTCAGAAGTAGATCTGAGTCTGTGTTTCTCCATTTTACAAATGTATGTAATATATATAAATATATTTAACATGCATCTCAAATTGATTGTTTTTAGCTAGTTGTAAGCCCGCAGACTGAATGAAAGAAATCTAGCAGTGCATGGCCAGCTTTACATTACCAATCGTTATATGTTAAGAAGGAGGAGCAATGGCTGTGCATTGGCATCTTTCTATTTCATACGACACAATGCCGAATTACCACTTGTATGAATTGGTATCAAATGCTCTACATTAGTGTGCATATAAAACGTGGGGCTTTTCTCTCTGTGTGCCAGTGTTTGTCCCTATGATGAGGCAGCCTGAGGCGGCATCTCTTTGGGTCACATGGGGGGCCGCAAGCAGTGTTTGCAGTCTGCCTGCCGCCCCCTTTCTGGCCAGAATGTCCATAGATGTGTAAGGGCCATACACATCTCTTTGCCCAGCTCTTAGCAACCTGGGACACCCTTGCCGGCTCCTGACGGGCTCATGGCAACCAGTGATTTCACTGAGCTCCTGAGGTGGCAGGACCCCCTTCCCTGTGCCACCTCAGATGGCAAAAAGGCTAGGGACATCCCTGGATCTATATGCCAATAATGTGACATAAGTGATGGCAGTCAGTGAATCCCTGTACATGTTATATATAATATCATGGGTACGTAACACTATCATTTCACTCGGTATGAGCATGTATGAGTGTTGGTACAGACTCTAGGAGTACATATTTTGGTGAATACACAGAGAATGAACACTGCCTTTTATATTAGGCTTCCTATTGACTCTTTGTATCTACACACTGATAATCAGCATGCGGTATTGTTTACTGATACTGAACATGCGGTATTGTTTACTGATACTGAACATAATGAGCTCACTGTACTGAGCAACTGTGCTGAGTTTCATAGTAAGACTAATTACTGTCAATCTGTATTGTATATTGATGAGGAATTGCTGCACACTGAGCACGCTTGGTGTTTATATCATTTGCGCTCCTCGGTGTTCTAATACTTTACACGCCACGATAAATGCATGCTGAGTAGCATGGTAATAATGTAATACAAGTGAAGAAAGTTTGTAGATACACATTTAACATTTACTGGGCTGTCAGCTTTGGCAAAATGCGATGCCGCTGTTTTTTAAAATCCACATGAGGCTACATATGCAGTCGTCATAAGCTCCAAGAGGCACTGCTATTTCAGCTGTGTTTCCTTCTGGTGGGCGGTGGGGTGAAAACGGTCATTGGGGGTGTGTGTTTCATAGTGGAGGATCTCATTGCTGAGTGCTGAGACTGATGCCTGTGTTAATGGGGGTGATGCATCACGAGCAGGCTCAATCGCACAGCCTTATGCCTTGTTCGCATAGGGATTTAGGCTGCGGCTGCGGATTCCTGCAGCAAGAACCTATGTATTGCTGAGACAGGAATCCCAGGTGTGTCTGTACAGATGTGGCCACTGTGCCCAGGCTGTCTGCGTCCAGGGACAATCATCTATCCCAAGCAGGTAATGGTACCATGTACAGTATGATTTACAGATGACAGATGGAGCCGCTGTCAGCGTCTTATTAACTGGAAGTGGCACAACGGCCACATGTGTTCAAACACACCTGGTATTCCTGCTGAAAGAATCTGTAGGTTCATGC